TTATTTCAGCAACCACGGAAAATGAATTATACAATCTAAAGGCACTTTTCTGTGTAGAATGCAGTGGCGTAGTCAGACTTTTTTCGAAAAAAATATTTTTTGAGATATTAACTATAACTTATGTTTTTTTTTTAAATAGAACCCCCTGTATATTTTTAAATTTTCTTATTCAGCTTAGCATGGGCTTCTCAAAAATATATAACACTTTATATTTATTTTCACTATTAACTTCAACATTTCCAATTTTTCTTAAAATATCCACTTAGTGGATAGTAGGCCGCGCCGAGTAACAAAGTAAACGGTTGTCATGGTGATCGGAACATACCTTTGATGGATGCGGGACATTTCATTTCAACAGATTGAAGTGTGTGTATTTTAAATAATAAAAAAATTAGTAAATTTAAAAATTTTGAGAAATATAATATGTTAGAATGTTATACTGAGTCTAACAAACATAAGCAAATGGCAGCTGATTTATATTTTGAGCGGTATCCAGAGCGCGAGCAACCAAACCCAGCCATTTTTAAAAGGTTAGAAGATAGTTTAATCAATTTTGGATCTTTTCAAAAACCGCGTCCGAAAAATTATCGACTCGACTATCCACTAAGTGGATATTTTAAGAAAAATTTGAAACGTTGAAGTTAATAGTGAAAATAAATATAGAGTTATATATTTTCGAGAAGCCCATGCTAAGCTGAATAAGAAAATTTAAAAATACACAGGGGGTTCTATTTAAAAAAACATAAGTATAGTTAATATCTCAAAAAATATGTTTTTCGAAAAAAGTCTGACTACGACACTGCATTCTACACAGAAAAGTGCCTTTAGAATGTATAATTCATTTGTCGGTGGTTGCTGAAATAAACAAGCTATCGAACATCTTCAAAAAGTACAAAATTTGAGAATCTCCCTGTAGCTTCGAAACCGATCAAGATAGCCACGATCCGTTTGCGCCATTGTAATTTTTTCAAAAAAAGAACCCGAGACTGCAGTATCAAAATTTGAATATGTCTCACGGTTTTCTAGATACCCTATAGAAACAACCAAAATGGTCCACCCTGTACATAAGTATTATTTAATTATTATTAAATATATTAATTACTTCGTCTTGCATGTTTTGTATTGGCACTGTGCCTGATAAAACGTAACACCTCCAAGTGGTGTTACAAGTTTGTTATATTTTAGCGACATAACAAATAGAAAGAAAGTGAAATTTTATAACGAATTGATTTGAGCGCCTAACAGCGTTTTGAAACGGAGCAGACCCTCCGCGACTTCGAGCAAGTACCATAAGTTTATATGAACAATTTCACATGGGTCGCGTATGCTCCGTCCGGATGATTTCGTCCGACGGCTATCTTGAAAAAACACGACGGACGGTCCGCTCGAATCATGAATTAGGTATGACTAAAACAAAACGAAAATTTCTCAAATTTTTCAAATATTTTGAACCAAAAACCAAATTGCGGTTATAATAACATTGGATCAAAAGTAATTTTAATTTGACTTTAAAAAGATATAGATGTTTATAAGTAATTTTACAGAGCTTTCAGATGGAGCGGAGCGTCAGCGCGGATGTTTTTTCAAGATAGCCGTCGACGAACTCATCCGGACGGAGCATACGTGACCCATGTGAAATTGTTCATATAAACTCATGGTACTTGCTCGAAGTCGCGGACGGTCCGTTGCCCACGCTTCGCTCCATCTGAAAGCGCTATTAGTTTTTAATTTAATTTTTTTTAGTATTATATTTGCATAAAATATGATGATAAAAAATGTTTTCAGTTAGTGTAGCATTATATTTCTTTATTCACAAGTATTTTGTTGTCTGAATACAAATAAATACAATATACCCGTGTCATTTACACTTGAGGACTTACTTATTTTATCGTATAATACACACAACCAAACTTATATGGAATCATCTATTATTTTTCGTAATTTTTGATATGTATGAAAAAATTTTGTGTTTATGAATAAAACTCAGTCCTTGCAAATGAATTTTAATCAAAAATATATATCCATATAGCAATAAAAAAAATTAATCAGTTCCCAAAATAAACAAAATGGTATTTTTTTGTAAATTTTTAATGGCCAAAAAGCATAAACAAAAAGAAAATTGATAATTTTAATATTTCTTGTTGCCACCTCTAACCCTTATGCAAGTTTCTATCCGCACTGGCATGCTTCTTATTAAATTATCCACGTTGTCTTGGGGTATATTTCCCATTCTGTTTATGCTGCATCAATAAGCTGTGCGAGATTTCCTGGATTGATTCAACGAGCTCTAACCCTTCTTTTGAGCTAATTCCATAAGTGTTCGATAGGGTTTAGATCTGGTAAATAGGCAGGCCAGTCCAAAACTATGACACCTTCCGTTTCAAGACATTCTCTAGACACTCTGTTGGTTTGGGGAGGTGTACTATCGTGCATGAAGCTAAAATTATCCCCAATTGCAGCTCTCCAAAGACTAACGATTGGTTCTAGCACCAAATCAACATATCTCCGACCCGTTAAAATTTGTTGAAGTGGTAACAGTGGAGTTTTTGCTTCCAGTATAATACCTCCTCAGAACATTACAGTTCCTCCTTTATATCTTGGTACAGATTTGGCAGCCTGAAGTCTCGCTCGTCTTTCTGGACTCAGAGAACTCGAATTCGAGAGCTATCTGATCTTAGGCCAATTCTGGTCTCATCCGAAAAAATAACAATTTGCCAATTCTCAGTTGTCCAGTTTTGATGTTGAAGGCGTCAATTTAGCCAGTCAATTTTATTTTGCCGACATAACTGCGGAATCCTTAACTCTCTTCTACTGTAAAATCATCGTGTACGAAGCCTTTTTCTTATGGTTTCAACTGAAACGTTCACACTTGTAGCTACCAGAAGTTGTACTTGTAGCTCTGGATGAGAAACAATGGGATTTATTCTAGCAATTCAGCACACAAGGCGGTCTTGTTGTTCAGTTGTGACTCTGACGACTTTGTCTGGGCCTATCCTTGTGTGTTCCTAACTCCAAATATCTTCCATATGTTTTCGATACAACACCCTGGGTAACGCCTACTATCTCTGCTACGTATTTCTGGAGCATTCCTTGTTCGGTGAGACGAATAATAATTCTTCCCCTCTGTACATCTGGTAATCCAACATAAGGCACTTTTTAATTGATTTGGATTGAATGAAAATCACCGGATAATCGTAATTTTACTACTGAACACAAAATTCAAAAGAAAATAAATCGTAGCAGTCGTTTATTCTTTATTATCATGTTTATTTACAACAAAAAGCCTTATCTTAAAGTTGTATCCCAATTTTTATCCTTGCAAGAAATTTAGTCAGAAATAAAGAGTGATTCCATATAAGTTTGGTTGTGTGTGTCACAGGCGTATCGAATAACTCGGCATTTTGCAAAAAGACTAAGCATATTATAAAACGCCGGCTTCTTTTAACAAAAGAAGGATATTTTACAAAGAGCCTATCTGTTTTCAGTCGTTTTGCAAACCGGGGCCCATTAGCCCCCCCTCTGTATCCGCCACTGCTTCTCTTTCAAAATTGGGAAATAATGGCACAAAAAGTGATAATTCTGTTAAATGGAGTATGGTTGTGGATGATGATTATAAAGATATAAATTCATTTTATTCTAAAAGAAAGCAAAGTTTCACAAAGAATTAAGCAGTCCTCTACACAGAATCAATTACAGAGTATAATGATTAAACGAGATATTAATATTATGGTTTTAATACATTTTGTATTTAAAATTATGTTGTTTAGAATTAAAATTTATGAAATAGGATTTAAGTTCTTTTCGTCTAAACATAATAAAATTTTGACATAAATAATTATTATTTTTGTATAGGAAAATATGGGGTATTTTTATTACAGCGTAAATTATTCAATATGCTTATGCTCATAGCTGACTAAACTTTGAACATTTTTAAATCTGCCTGGCCTCGAGTCTCGATTTGGTATTTTGTAAAATGACTGACAAGACGCAGTCTTTTAGCAGAAGTGTACAGAAAATATCATCATTGTTTCAGTGTTTCTGATTAAGCTTTTTGCAAAGTGACTGAAAATAGGCTTTTTGTAAAAATTCCTTCTTTTGTGTAAAAAGCCGGCGTTTTATAATATTCCTAGCCTTTTTGCAAAATGCCGGATTATTCTATACGCTTGCGACATATACCGGGTGCGTCTCAAAAGTGGCTCACACTTAATTTGGTATATACTTCCTGTTTTACCGGAAATGACTACAACTTTTAATTTTTAAATGGCACCCTCGGTATATTTTTACTTTATTCGATAGAGAATGACACTCTGAATAGAATGACATATCGTATGTCAACTTTTGACATTTTCGCTTAAAAACAAATCGTATTTTAAATTTCAATCTAGAGTGCCATGGCTGTGTTAAACACACTAATTTTTAATCAAGGAGCCTAGGAATAATAGTAGTCTAATATTTTGCGTGTTTTGTCCTGGCCGGTTAAAGGATGCCCAAATCGTATTTTTAGCCATATCACAATTTTTCAAATTGAACAACGGTTGCTCATAAGAATATTTGGAATAAGCATATTTTTATAAATAATTTGGTACCACACACGCGCTATTTCGAGTCAAATTGTCGTTATAAACCGCATGTTACAATGTCAAATAAACCATATGCAAAAATGTCAAAAGTTGACATATGATGTGTCATTCAATTCAGAGTGTCGTATTCTATCGAATAAAGTAAAAAAATACCGAGGGTGTCATTTAAAAATCAAAAGTTGTAGTCATTTCCGGTGAAACAGGAAGTGGCCAAAAACAATTGAATACGTCAATCAATCCTAATTTATGTCATGTATAGTAACATACCAAATCGTTTTATTATCTGAAAAAATAAAAAAGTTATAGGGGGTGAGCCACTTTTGAGACGCACCCGGTACATCGCGTTAAGTGCATTCATCACGGCTGTTGGTTACTGTTAATAATTAGTTGACAAAAAAAGTATAAAGTTGCTTATTTTAGGTACGACAGTTCCAGAGAACGATTGTTTTTGCCAAAAAGACTGTATGCCGTCGGGAGCATTAGACATATCCGCTTGCCGGTACGGATCACCAGCCTATGTATCTCTTCCACATTTTCACAAAGCAGATAGGTTCTACACTGATTCTATCGAAGGACTGAAATCTGAAGATGATCTACATGATTTTTTTATGGTTTTTGAGCCGGTAAGTTGCGCAGATCTATTTTTTAAATAATTATTTTATACCAATAATTCATTCTATAATACCGTGCTGGCAACGGTTACTTTTGGGTCGGCATTTAGATGTGTGGAAGTAAATCGCATAGGGATCTTATTAAGTCGGAGTGAGAGAAATGCGACCGACCGACGCGACGCGCGACGGTGTGCTGTTGCAGCGTTGCCGATACGCCTTTCCCTATCAAGTAAATTAAAATCACGATCGCAAACCGTTTATTTTTAAGACTTTTTTTCAAGAGATAACTAGATAAAATTATTAGACATGTTTCTGAGCATCTGAAATGGAATTATAAGGATATGGTTAGGGTGTCATTTTTTTATAACGAGAAAACGTCAGTAATCGCGATAATTTAAAAACTCAACTTTTTAACAGATAACAGGCCATAACTCAAGAACCACTTTAGATATTGAAACTTTTTTTTATTTTCAAGATCGGATATTTTACAATATGTTTACATAAGAAAAATTCGATAAGGTTGTTTTTTCTATTCAAAAATTGTAAACAATCCATCCGTTTACCTTTAGAGCATAGCAATTTTCAGCAATCGTGTAATGTTTTTATTGATAAAGATTTTCACATACTGTCTACAAAGAAAATACAGCAGAAATATTAACAAAGTTCTTGAAAACACTACAATCTATTATTTCTAATAGATTTCGAGATATCGATTTTTGAATTCAGAGTTCTAATAGCGCGACCACTATCGAACACCCACTCAATTCCACTTATTTTTACCAAAAATGCAAGTGTTTCTAGCTTGCACTTAAAAAAATTCCATGGAGTAAGGGAGTTTGTGCAATGTTCTTTCTACCCGCTAAATATAATTTTGTAACCTTAATAGTGTAATTATATGACATTGAAATATGTGATATTGGTCTAGTTATTGTGTTGTTGTTAAAGTGATATACATGAGATAACATCTGTTCCGGATTTCGATATCGTTTAGTGTGATATATACATCCATTCGATTTACAACGTTCTACGACGTTTTCCGATTCCTAACCGCCACTCTTCTCTATCTTGCCACATGTTATCTCATCAAGCTGTCTTTGGTCCAATTCCTTCCTTATTCCTTCTCTCCAGCTTATTCTTGGTCTTGCTCTTCTTCTTCTACCTTGAGGAATTTCAGCAGTTGTTTTGGAAGCATGTCATCTAACATCCTTTGTACATGCCCGTACCATATCAACTGTTAGGTTTTGGTATCATCAACAATCGCAGATTTAGCTCCCATCATTTTTTGTGATGATATTCGATGTCACGAAATTTTCTATTATCAACATATTTAAAATTGGGCAAAAAATCGCTACCTGTAATATTTTTACCGTGTATTAAAAGTAGCAGTAACGGTCGTTACCGAGATATGAATAAACCGTGATTGGCTATGTCTATTGGCTATGTATTGATAGGGCAAACGTCGCTTGTTGCGTGTCGCGAGTCGTGATGTACTTTTTTTCACCTAAATACATGTATGGGTAGTTGCATAAAATTGTTATGCAACTAAATACACATTGCGTATGTATGACTCACTGTGTATACTTTGTCAAGTGAATCTTTTGACTTACTCAGTCATTGTGATTTTAGAACATTGCGGTTATAACTTTAGAATTTCCATCTCGCGAAAATCCCCAATATTTTAGATTCTCTCCTTCTCTCTTATTAGGCAGAATTCTAAGTAATTTGAGAATAATTACTCATGCTTAATGTAAGAACCAACTGACGACAGCTTCTGTAGCTAAAAAATATATACATAAAAATTTTATAGCCAAAAAGTCGCAGACTAAGCTTATTAAAGCTATTTAAAACTAACTAAAGATTTAACCCAAGTAGCAAATGGACGTTATCTAACGTCGGGTATACGTCGCGTTCAATAAACCCGACGTCGCGTCGGGCACCAACGTCGGTTCGACCGCCTGACGACCCTCATTTGCAACTAAATGGGGAATACAGATTACGATTACCAACGTCATATTACGTTGGATTTCAGTTACTTAAAATTCGTCGCTAAGCACTTATGTTATGTTTGGTTTCAAATTCGCTACAAAGAATACATAAAAATTTTCACAAACAAAACTACCTAATTACAAATGGATTCATAATCACTCCTCGAATATAACTATAAGTGTACTACCCTATTTCATATAACAATAATTCTGAATCTGAATAAAATACTCAACGGAAAACAACGAGCGCCTTCAAAATTAGGTAGATTTATGAAATATTATTTTCTAGCTGGTTTAATAATAAAACTGTACTGTGGTTGCCTCCAAACTCATCCTTATCAATATTATTCTACTAAAAATCGGAATGTGAATATAAATTTTAAAAACAAAAAACGATTTTAAAATGGCTGACAATCGGACACTTGTTAAGAATGGCGGATTTCTGTGTCCGACTTAATATGAACTACCAATATACCAATTCCGACCGGGTCTCCAACATTAGTCGTCTCACACGACTGAAGTCATCAAACCGGACGACCGGCTATCCGTATTATGACGTATATAATTCCAACGTACGCCACGTAAAATTTGCGATCGGCCGGCATAGGTAGGAGCATCCGTCGTCGGCCACAGAGCATATAATTTTTGGTATTCCTGGTAACTGGTTAATAAGTTTATTATAAGGCATATAAAAGCGACGTCACCGGTCGTATCACCAGCACCCGACCTAAATTTGCACAAAGTCTGATGTCGCCTCAAGTCAGATTTAGTTTGAAGTCAGATATATGCTACTTGGGAAGTTAGTTTGACTGTTTTTTAGAGGAAATATAAATCTTACCATAATAAAGGTTTTCATCTTACCAGAGAATGGAGCACTAGAGACATATTGACTCTGTTTTACTGTTTCTTGGAAATATAGTAAATTTGTAACAGTTTTGGATGGCAAAAAGACATTTATGTCATCCTAAATTTTTCGATATCATTCTGAGTCGTCTGTTTTGTTGCTTCTACAGATTTTTTTTCTTTCAACAGAAAAAAGCCAAAATTGTCTCATTCTAAAAGCAGAATATAACATTTTTTCTTTAATCTCTAAATCATTGTACCGGGTGGCCAACTAAGAATGGACGCCGCCTGTATCTCAGAAACAGAAAAAAATTCTAAAAAGTAAATCGGCCAAGAGAAATGGCTGGAAATTATTTTCAAGTTCGAAAAAATAACGCTAGGGGGCGCTTCTCCGATAGCCTATCAGAAAACAGGTGTTTTCTCAAAAATATGCAGGTGAACAGGCATTTTATATATATTAGTCGGTTTAGAACGTTTTTCTACGTTGTCCGATACCCAATTTCCAGCCTGTTCTATTCGTACAATCATCTGTTGATAGGTTTCTTTCACTCATCGCTTTGTGTACGCTTTTTTGCCATTCCAGTTTTGGTCTTCCCTGTTTTCTTCAGCCCTTTGGTTGCCAATTGATTATTTTCTTGGGCCATCTAGTGTCCTTCATTCGCTCTACATGTCCGTACCAGATCAGCTGCTTTTTCTCTATATCCTGTGTTATCGTACCTTCTATACCCATTTGTTGTTTTATGGTATTATTTCTTCTTCGTTGTTGTCTTGAAATTCCCATTGATCTTCGAATGACATCCATTTCTACGGCCTCTATCCTCTTCTTGTATCTCTCAATTATTCTCCATGTTTCTGCTCCATACAGGAGGTTGCTCTTTATCATGGTTTCATATATATTGAATTTTCTTCGCTTTGTTATTGATTTGCTTGCTAGAGCAAATCAAGAACAGGCATTTTAAATATTATTATTGTAAACATCGAGAAATTTGTAATTTTTTTGATACAGAGTATTTTGCTCTGTCTCATAAAATAAAGTTGTGGGGGAAGGTTAAACTTGCTTTTTTTTAAATAAGGATAACTCTGGTTTATGTTATCCGATTTAAACAAACTAGAGCTCGTTAAAAAGAGCTTTTCTTCCTTAATGATTCTCAGTATAAGTTGTGTTTCCACAATTTTTTTCGTGGTATCTAGAGGGCGCTATTTGACATCATAACAGATATTGCGTTTTTGCATAAAAAATTTAAATGGGAGGCTATATTTCTCTTTACACAGTTAAATAGAGCACAAAATTTCCAAGATATCAGCGTAAACCGCAACTTTCTACCTTCTCTCTAACCGGAGATATTAAGAGAAGAAGTTATGTTAGGCTGCCGCTTAGGATTATATGGTCTAAAAATTATAGTAGTAGGCTAGAAAACAAAAAGAGGCAATTTGGTTACGTCAAAATATCAAAAAGTTTAAGTTCAGTTTTCATGCATCCGAATTTCGGGCATTTTCTTAAAAAAATTACGTCATAAATAGTTTAACGTGTTTATATAACATTATCGTCCATCCATATAATTTTTACCAATTTCTTGGTTAATTAACGTAGATCTTGGTTAATTAACTCAGACTAAAATGTCCGAAAGTCGGACAATCAATAATTTTATTAAAATGTCTAGGAATTTTGTGACGCCATATTGCTTTTAAAAAAAACGGCCAAATTTCCTATGGCCGAAAACTAGAGGTTTATTTCATGTAATGTCATTTAGTTATTAATCCAAGTTCGTCCTTGATTTCACTTATTTTCATGTTTTACCTGTTGTTTGTGTGATTTATTACTATTTTATAAAATTTGTGTCGTTTGAATCAGTATTCATACAGCACCGAAGGTGCGAATCTTAACAATTTGCACTACTGGTTCAAATCTGCCCTTGATGCAAGTAGTTCAGCATCAAGATCGTTGGTCGATAAATGTTTAGGCAGGAATTCTAGGATGGCGAATGATTGGACTTCTTTAATTATCTGAATGAAATGAACTATCCACAATTTCTAAGAGATGAATTGCTAATTTTGTTAGGGAATCCATCATGATGAAATTACATTTGTTGCAATTTCATCAGCAATTTCATCAGTTGGGCCGCTTATTTTGCTATGAATGTGTGGGGCTTCTTGGATACCACTTACTATAGTAGATAGAGACGC